GTGGGTGTTGAATACCGAGGCGCATCCGTTCAGACGGCCTGGCACTTAGAGAAATGTATTCTAGGAATTTGAATTGGGATGGGAAGTGGGGTGTTGGAGGAGTTTTTCGGTTCCGCGGTCCCTTGATGCCTTTCTTCTTGCGCTATTTTGAGCTTTCGAGCTGCTTGAAAAGGGGGTTGAATTCGGGTTGGTGGGGTAGAAACGATGCATGCATTGACGGCGTATAACTTTTTTCTTGGGTAAACAGTAAGTTGAACGCATCGTAGGGGAAAATAGAATTATATAAGGCGTTTTCGTCTTTGTATGTCTTACTGGGGTGTGAGGTATGCTGGTACCATTTTTGTTCTTTTTTTTTTTCATTCTCTTTTTTCTCTTTTTTTTTTGGTTTGGGGCGGAGGTGAGATGCGATGAGGTGGGCTTTCGAAGGTTGAGAAATGAGAAGTGTTTAGGAAGGAATTTTTGTAAGATGTGCTGGTGTTGTTTTCTGATCCTTCAGATGGATTGAATTTTCTCTCTTTTTTTCTTCTTTTTTTTTTGGGAGTGAAATAGAAGATGGCTGTTACAAGTGCTGCACTTCTACGCAGTTCAGGTGGATGGTGGTCCGAAGTGAATTGCTTTTGAAACCACGAGGAGTGCGCATTGCTTTCAGATCTCTGGAAAGGCAGAGTTCTGTCTTTCAATATGAACACTGTTTGGTGTTCAGGCTGTGGTTTGGTAATTCAAGTGGATTGCTTCTAGGATCATGGGGCAGACTTCTGTTCGTTCAAGGTGAACGCTGTCAGGCGTTCAGCCTGTGGTTTGGCTGAGGGAAGTAGGTTGTTCTTGCCGTGCTTCAAGGGACGAGGCTATTCATTCGAGTGAACAGGTTTTCGGAGAAGACCCGGCTAACATTGTCTTTTGCATCCTCGATTATGTTGTCTCTTGTCTCCTATCGTCTTGAATTCATCCTCAACTCACGATCTTCGTTCCTCCGCTATTGAACGAGTGCTACATCACAAAGTCTTAAAATTGCTGCTGCTATTCAACCGCAAGGAAAGGAGCTGGATTGGAATACTGTATTAAGCATGCTTCTATAATGATTAGCAGCACAATCTTCGGATCTTCGGCTCTTGGGCTCGAGCACCAGAAGCTTTGACGCAAAACTATTTATTGATATTTTGGGAAGCTGGCAATATGAGGTATGGGGAGGCTCTTGCTCTGCGGCTCGAAGAGTAATTCAAGGGTCTTAGAGAGGGTGGGCTTGAGTTCAGGGATGCAGAATGGAAAAACTCGGATCGAAGCATTCGCAATTCGCCTGAGAGATATGGTCTGTCTGGGGAAGGCTGGAATGGAGAGCGCCAATCTGTTGCACCACATTAGTTAGCGGACCTGCTATGCAATCTATACAGTTTACGAGGTCTTTATCTTGCGTTCGAAATACGTAGCGTGAAAACGTGGGAGCTTGAAGGAGCTGAAGGAGCAGCCTTGCAGCAGTATCTATGTATAGCCGTTCTTGCACGACTGCAGCTGCAAGCTCCCATGGTAGTACGGTCCCTCCCAGCTGCCAAGACACGATAAAGACTGCCTGCTATCTCTCTTTCGTGCTTCGTCGCTCTGACTCAAACAAGGCTGAGCGTGCTTAACCGAGTCCCGACATATCTGAAAAATATGGTATCACACGTACGACATTGATGCGAAGATTTTTAGGTCTTTGTACCTCCTGGCGGCAGGCCACCTCCCTCTACCATAAACTCCTTCCAGACACCTATGAAGAAGCTTTAATTAATCAGATTAATAAGCTTACTGTTCGGGGAATCCCTCCTACAACCCATATTGTCAAGAACCACGATACGCACCCCGATCATAATGGTACCTTTCATGGTGCTCAAGACCAGTTTCATTCCAATTGTGTCTGCAGCCGCAACATGCTATTACACCGATGGCTCTGCAGATAACAGTGACGACCAACTAGCCTGTGATCCCACAGCAACGGTCAGTGCTTGCTGTGGCCAGACTGACTACTGCCTCTCCAACGGCCTATGCCTCGACGCTGGAGCCAACAGCCTGCTTGCAGTCCAAGGCTGCACAGATCCAAAATGGAGTTCTCCATGCCACGCATATTGTCCTTGTTAGTCCCCTCATGAAATCTCCACTGTCCTTCCTTCACCAGTATTAATTTTTCAGCTGAAATCCAGCTGGGCGACACCATGTACCCGTGTGCCAATACCGAGCCCGCAAGTGGTGGCTCCGTGGAGTTCTGCTGCGGACATGAGGCGACTAATGTCTCTACCTGCTGTGCAAATGGCGGAGCGTTCTCGGTCCCTGTTGGCACAGATTGTTTTGAGACCGTATCAGCTTTCGAGTTATTTGGCAACTTCGACATCCAGTAGTGCAGCCAGGGTGTCTACTCCGTCTACTTCTTATTCAACTTTATCTACTTCGTCCAGTTCCTCTGGCCAGTCAATTCAAGTAAGCTTCGAGAATAAAAAGTCTCTAGCTATAGGTCTTGGTGTTGGTCTCGGTGTTGGAATCCCGTTCTTGTTGCTGTTAAGCGCACTGGTGTTCCTTGGACTTCAGCTGAAAAGGCAGAATAAGGATCGAGCGACGCCTGGTGGTGCACCGCCCATGGTCAGTGAGGGACTGCCAATGACTGATTCATATCCTCATGTTGTAGAGTTTGCGGAGAGACAGAAATTGGGGGTGAGGAATGAGTTGGATTCACAGAGAACGGGGTTGAGGGGTGAGTTGGATTCTCAGAATCAGCAGGTGTATGAGGTGCCGAATCAAGGGAATCGTTGAACGCTGGGCAGGGGAGGGAGATAGCTTGGCTGTTATTTGAAAACGAGGCAGAGTGAAGAATGAAGCGGTAAATTGGACTCTTTTCAAATAGGTAAGCTATCTGCTTTGTGAGTTGTGAATGTCTCCAGCTCCCTTGAACTTCTCGCTTATTTGCACCAGAACACTTCAAAATATGAAGCTCTCGACAGTAGATGTAAATTGTATGGTTAACTAGCAGCTATTTCCACTATCTCTTTATTTTCGTTCTCTTATTCTTGTGGGTCCGAGTACAATGCAACTGTGGTCTCAAATCTTGGAAGTTTTGTGATGTTGTTAAGCTAGGGACGCAGATGGGAACCATTCAGCCACCCTCTAACTCCTAGCATCTTATTTCATCATCTCGTCAATCATAAATACCTCCACCATCTTAAAAAACCCTTACGCCAGCCTTCTGATTTGTAGCATTGTAGCACCTCAAGGTTACACATTCTCTTGTACAGCAGTCTACTTCCCCCACCGTCTGGTCTCTTACCCCGCATAATCACGGCCCAATCCAACCAAATAGAATCAACTCCCGTAGCCTTCCCTTTGTGCCTTTGCCCGCGCGGCTTGCTTCTCCATATCGATTTCCCAATTGCCACTCTCGTCCTTCTTCATAGGTCTATGATTCTGCTCCCCGCTGCCTTCTTCGTACTTTGTTGCTGTCCCGCCAGTAATCCATTGGATTAATACCATGCAGCTGCGGATTCCGCACATCTTGCTTTCTTGATTCTTATCTTTTGCGGGTGCGTAAGGTCCGGTGTGGGATTTGAAGGTTCGAACTAGTTTGCTTCGGTGATGCGGCTTGGCTTGGCTTATTGTTTATGGTAGATGAGGGAGGATCTCGAAGTCGGGAAGCGGGGCAGACGTTGTCAAGCTTATGGTATTCTAATTGTAAGAACAGATTGATCGATGACAAGCTATTTATTGCAGAAAGAAGAGAGGCATTTGCTTTCAGAGGCTGTGAGGTCGTGGTCGTGGTCCTGGTTTCAAGTTTGGTTGCAACAAGCGATATTGTAGCCTTGGCAAGTCCCCCATGTGTGCACCGGTGGGCTGAGTTTACCCCTGAATTAGGCGAGGGCTGTGCAAGCGGGGGGGCCTGATTTGGAACGTACCCCTCATCTCCAATCAGAATACATCACAGTTAAGGCTTCCAGAGCAAAGGTATGTCACGTTTCTAGCGCCCCGGGTAATCTTCAAAATGTCTTATCCCTAAACTTCCAATCTGATTTGTTCCAAATTTTACCACGATCTCGAGGTCTCGAAGTGTTCGGTTCAAATTAGGCAAGTGATTTTCGGGACTGTGCGAAACTAAACCCCTTTATTATGGAATCAATTAATGCATATTTGCTGGGGACTCCCTTTGCCGACTTTGGAATCACTGGCTTGGCGAGGAGGAGTAAAAGCAGAGGCAATGCTAAGGACGGCGCTGATAGAAACAAAAACCTTCATAAAGTACAGACGACAAGGACCCAGGTCTGAACTCTTATGGAGAATAAATGGAGAGTAACAAAGGAGGAGAGGCTAAGTTCTTCAGGAGAAAAGAATATTAGAATCGAGACAGCTGAGCATATTTGTGTCTGGATGCAATGAGAATGGTGAATTGCTCGAAATTTCACTCGTGCTTGTACATATGCTTAGTCAACCACATAGTTGTCAAAGTAAAAACACCCCCCTATTACATGCTGGCTTTCGGCCTACAACAATTATCTAGTCACCTGTTGAAAAAGAATTCTCCGAGAAGCATTTCAGGGGATCTGAAACACATGCGGGTACTGTACTGCATGTGACTAGGCTTTACTCACAAAGTCGCAGGGTTTTGGATATGTGAAAATTTGGCGATAGGCTGGGAGCAACCTACAAAGCCTAATGGCAGTGTAAGTATTTGAAGGAGCGTACATAAAGTACAATTGCTCGGTGCTGCACTAAACAAAAACAAAAGCCAAACGACCTTCAATATTTACAGCTTTGATATTGAAAAGATTTGGAGTCAAACTTTCTTGGAGATGGGCTAGAAATCGTGAACTGTGACTCCCGATCCTTTCTCGTGCTAGGCTTCCGAGTAACCGAAATGTTCAAAACTACCTAGGTAAACTTAGCCACAACAACACCAAAATTTGAAGAAAGCAACATTATTTTCGCATTTCCTGGATTTTCTTTTGGGGGTTCAATAAAAAAAATAGAACACAAATGTGTCGCGGTATTGAACCACACCCGATTTGAACGGATAACCTTTCGATCTGGAGTCGAACGCGCTACCGTTGCGCCAGCGGTCCTGGTTTCGATTACCTAGGTATTCTTTAAAATCTGTAAAGTTTCAGAAATTCTGGACATTGTGAGAAAAAGAACCTCAATTTTTGGTATTCCGAGAACGGGTTTAAGCATTTGGCTAGTAAAGCCTTTCCAGCACTCGCTCAGTTGCGCTTATCCTGCTTGCTGAACAAACAGGAGCTTCTCCGTTCCGGCATTACTAATGATGTTATAATCCTCATAATCAACCCTCGCGGAATAGCCCGCCGTACCTTACATCTGAAATCGAACCAGCTTTGGAGTCTAGAGTACTAGCGTCCATTGAGAAGTCTCCCGGAACTGCACCGTTCAACATTCCGAGATAAATCTCACTTCATGGTCTTTAAATATTAAAGCTTACCCACGTATCCTCTTGCTTCGGTCTGCAGACCAACTAACTTTCTAACCTAGCAAATTCCCAGACATCGCATGCAACTCAGCAATCGCACATCCGCGGCACTTCTCTCCGCAGCCAAATTGTTCCAGTTCCCCATCTTCGCCCTCAACCAAAGCTCTTCTTACTCCTCCTCTGCCATGGGTCGCGCACCCGTCATCGCGGTCTGTCACGGCGGCGGCCCTATGCCAGTGATGAATGATCCTGGGCACGCCGAGCTGATCAAATCTATGACAACCAAAGTCCCTTCTGTGCTTGGCCTAGGTACTTCTTCTGCCCCGCGGGCTATCGTACTCGTCACTGCGCACTGGACCGAGCGCCGACCTACCATCAGCAATGGGAAGAAACACAAATTATATTATGATTACGGCGGCTTCCCACCGGAGACATATAGATTGAAGTATGATGCGCCTGGGAGCCCCGAGGTCGCGGCAGAGGTGTACGAGGCGCTAGAGAAGGCGGGGTTACAACCAGAAATGGACGGGGAGAGAGGTACGTCTACTAACATTCCCCGAATCATGCCGTCTTATAAAAATGTGGAAGCCAAGATGGATGCTAATGAGGACAAATAACAGGCTGGGACCACGGCGTTTTCGTCCCTATGTTACTCATCAATCCCAAAGCCGACATCCCAATCGTTCAGCTCTCTGTCATGGCCTCCGATTCCCCAGCGCAACACTACGCAATGGGCCGCGCATTAGAGCCTCTCCGTGATTCGGGTATTGCGATCCTTGGCTCCGGCATGCCGACATTTCATAATCTGCGGTTGATGTTCTCGGGTGCGGCAAATGATGACGGAATCAAGAGACGGAATAAGGAGTGGAGTGATAGACTCACAGCGACAGTTACAAAGGAGGATAGCGAAGAGAGGGGTAAGTTGCTTGAAAGCTGGAGGGAGTGGGTTGGTGCCAAAGAGGCGCATCCTCAAGGCGGGGTAGAGCACTTTTTACCTTTGGTGGTTTGTGCTGGTGCTGCAGGGGACAGCAAGGGGGAGGCTTATGCAGACGAGCTGATGGGCGCTAAGCACTATACATATTACTGGAAATGAAAAGCAATAAATAGCCTTGCAAAAGAAACATCATTCACTCGATCTTATGCAGAAGCCAGAGTTGAAGAAGAGAGTAACGCATTCTCTTAAAATTGAGGTACGAGAACCCTACAAGAGCGGTGGCAGACACCTCCCTTAGCGACAGGTTAAAATGTTAAAGACACGTTGATAATGGTATGGCTTCTGAGTATATCATCTTTGATTCAATGTATGGTTAGTTACTGCCTTCAGCATGATTCGAGGGAGCGAATACATTCTTCTCATTTTCCTGAAGCTGTTATTGGTCACAATTGGAACTGCGCTTTCGTCATTCAATTTCTAATCTCATAGTCCAATTTCGGGAACAAAGAGCCGCAGTCGCCAAAATTTCCACTCTCAAATTAATAGATAATTCAACAGACAGGAGAAAGCAAGGGAACTTACCTCACTAGCTCACGTGATTGAGAAAAGGGGTCATTCGCCAAATCTCGCCAACCCTTGACGAGGTGCAAGATCATATATCCCAATACTACACTTCGGAGAGGTGCTAAGCCCTTACCAAAAAGGAGAGGCTCTCAGGTAGGGGTTTTGACGTTTCTTGCCTAAGGTGATTACTGAGTCTCTCATGAGGCAGATTGGTTGGATCTCAGCCTCATGCACAATAACCTAAGCATTTGGAATTGCGCCTGCAACTCCGCCCCGCGCAGCCTTGTCCGTTGATCACACAACCTTCTCTTTCTTCTTCCTTCTCCCTCTCCTCGAAACTGACAAAAAACATGGATATCATATCATCAGCTTCAGCGGTGGTTGGACTCGTCTTCAGCTTCGCAACAGCGGCCAAGACGTGCAATGCTGTCCGGGGCCGATACAAGGCTGCCGCTTTAACGCTTGACAGCATGAGGCAGGAGCTGGAGATGTTGCAGGCAGCTTTGCAGCAACTTGCGAACTTGATGATGCACGATGCCTCGGCACTCACCTCGCAATGGGATACGGATCAATCTTTGTCTGGTACCTTCGCGCGCTCGATGAAAGGCTTTGAGCGCACCATCAAAGGGATCCAGGCAGAGCTTGACAGATTGAAGTCCGAGAAGGAGGTGCTTGGACGGCTTGACAAAGCCAAGGTCGTTTGGAACGAGGATGGGATGCGAGAGCATCTGAGCAGGCTTAGAAGTCAAGCTGCAGCGTTGCAACTGTTGCTTCAAGTCCTCCAGACGTGAGTATCCTTGCTGCGTTCTCTTTTAGACCAAAAAGACTGAGGTTTTCTAGTGGCGCAGTGTCTGAAGTCAAAAAGCATGTCAGGAATCTGGAAGCCGCTCTCGCCCACGCTGCAGTTGCTTCCACTAGTGACAACTCTGACATGAATGGAAATTCAATTTTGACTCCCCCCATTTTCGCGAACGATCAAGAAGACCTGCTGGACTTGGCATGGTCAGAGAAGAACTCGGAAAATGGTTCCCCTGCTCAAGTACTTCAATCTGCTTACCTGGATCTTCTCCGAGAAGAATTTACTGCCGACCTTGAGGATACGCTGGAAACCAGCAGCAGTTCAAGTAATTATTCAACTAGTTCCGAGACCGAAACGAGCGACCCATTTCAAGACTCCACAAATCAACCTGCTTCACAACCATCCAACGAAAAGGAACAGGTCGAATGTGAGGTTGAGCCGGAGCCTCCGCAAGCAGCCCCGATGCTGTCAAAAACAACCACCGTTCGGGCTTTTACGCTAGTGCAGGCAGTTATTAGAGGAGATCTTGAAGAGGTCACAGATCTACTCGACAATGGCTGTGATATTGAGACTGTGGAGCCTGAGAACGAAAGAAATGGACTAATGTATGCGGCAATTCTAAATCATTCCGAAATCATGCAATTGCTTCTTGACAGAGGTGCAAATATTGCCGCTCAAGACAGAGCCGACAGAACAGCTTTGCACTTTGCAGCATCAGAAGGGTCTTGTACGTGAAAGAACTCAGAATGAATGATCTCTGGCTTAAATAATCAGGAGCTGACACTATCTAGACCGATGCACTCAGCTTCTTCTCTCTTTCGGTGCTCCTGTCGAGAAGTACGATAAGTTTCATGACGTTCCTCTGCAACTAGCTGTCAGGCATGGGAAAACAAATATTGCAAAGTTGCTCTTGCCGCATTACTCGGATCCTCTCGCCTTAAAAAGCTGTCATTACCGGAATGTACTGCATATAGCCGCAAGATTTGCCGGACTTGATATGGTTAAGCTTATATGCAATCACATCCGAATTATCGAACATGTTAAGAACTGCGGTGTTAAAGGCGCAGCGATTCCTAAATCTGGTCCATGCTGCTCGTGTCCCGCAATTTATCCGCACCTCGAAGATGCAGATAGATCTGGAGATACAGCCCTAGGTCTCAGTGTCATGTGTGGGACCGCAGAGGTGGTGGCTTTTCTGCTGCGGTGTTCTAAACCGCTTGCTGACATGCCAATGTTACACACATATGTGCTCAAACCCAAAATGGTCTTTGGCGAAGAGCGTATTCCCTGGAATAGGCCCATTCATTGCGCAATTAGAAATGAGAAGAGATCTGGCGACAAGCTTAAAGTCCTTATCGACGGAGGCGCTGACGTAAATGCAGTTGACAGTCGGGGAAGAACACCACTCATGGTGGCGAAGGAGTGCGGTAACTCAGAGGCCATTGACTTTCTACAAAGTCGTACAACTTTATCCAAACGACGGCGGAACAAACGTTAGAAACCCGCGGGCTCTCGCGGGTGACTTCCAGTAAAATCACCGTGTTGTATCTGCCATACTTAAGGCTCCAACTCTCTTTCGGTGATGAATAAATGAGACGTCGTAGATGTTGCGAGGCGAAGCAATTGCTCTCGGGTGCCAAAGCAGGGCAGACAAGGTGGATTTTCACATGAATGGAACGTTCTTCAGAGTTTTCAACAAGAGGAAACGAAGGCGCACTCCAGCTCGTCACGCCAGAGACGTAAATGAGTTCCCCTAACTCGGTCACCTACCCGTTCTTTCCGACTTCTCTACGCCAATCAGACGCTATTCCTGGATAAAGGGCCTCGACACGCACAATCATGCCTGGAATCTGGAACCGCAATATAAAACTCCACCTTATCCTGCTTCCAAAGCAGTCAACAGGCGCCAGTCATGCGCGGAAGACGAAATTGCACCCGACCGCCATCTACACTGGTTCGACAACTCGTGTACAAGCAACAGTCGCCCCAGAAAACTTGCTCAGCCCTTTTCCTAAGCTAACGGAAAGGGGATCTCTTTGATGCTGCTTCTATGTTATCTTTCCGGACTTTGCATATTTCACGTGATGTAAGTCATCTAGCCAGCCTGGAAAGATAATAGCAGGAAATTCATCATCGACAGTGCTAAGCAATTCTTCAGGCACGTCGTTGGGAGTTCGGAAACTCTTGCATTAAGACTCTTCAATCTCGAGTACTTCTCAGATATCCAAAAATTGAGGTAGAAAGCTTTCTCCTTTTTTTCGCCACCTCGCGTGGAATCCGATCAAGTATTTACCCAGAACTCCTCGCCAGGGACGGTAGTTTGGAATTAAGAAGTATCAGA